TCGTCAACCAAAACAATCACTTAGAAGCAGCACCGCACATCCAAGTATATCCGGCGCGCCGGGCACTTGTACCCGGCATGTGCTCTCTAGCTATATCTAGCCGTATAGTTACAATAGCGCGGTAATTGATTACCTTTCGGCTTTCCTTTCAAATCATCGTTGCATTATTCATTCACCCGGCGAGCCGGGTATAGGCATTTGCTCACTAGCTATATCTATATAAGCATCATTATTCGCTCACCCTGCGCGCCTGGACCCGGCATTTGCTCACTATCTATATAGCCGTATAGTTACAATAGCATGGCAATTGAATTCCTTTCGGTTTCCCTTTCAAATCATCATCATTACATTATTCATTCACCCGGCGCACCGGGTATATGCTCACTAGCTATATTCAGTTTTAATACCAAGAGTATAGCAATTCAAGTCCTTTCGAATTTCCTTTCACATCATCATCATCATCATCATCACATCAATTTTTCCCTTCCCGGCACACCAGTACCCGGCGCGCCGGGTCCCGGCATTTGCTCTCTAGCTATATTTAGCTGTATAGTTGCAATAGCAGCAATTGATTTCCTTTCGGCTTTCCTTTCAAGTCATCATCATTACATTATTCCTTCACCCATGCCTGTACCCGGCGCGCCGGGCACCGGTACCCGGCCCGCCGGGTCCCGGCATTTGCTCTCTAGCTATAATTAGCCGTATAGTTACAATAGCATAGCAATTGATTTCCTTCCGGCTTTCCTTTCAAATCATCATCATTAAAGTATTCATTCACCCGGCGCGCCGGGTATATGCCGGTACGCGGCGCGCCGGGCACCGGTACCCGGGCACCGGTACCCGGCACGCCGGGTCCCAGTATGCCAATAACGTAGCAATTGACTGGGTGAGTGGAAGTGGGTGCTTTTGATCATGAACCAATCCAGAAACCAATTCCATTGAGGTGGATCTGGTCGAGCCTACACAAATGCCACCAAGCTATGGTTTGGGTTGGCAAGCATGACCTCCAGTACCGGAACATACAGGGGAATGCCTGCTCGACTTGTGCTGCTTGCAAGAAGCTTTTGGACACATGCCAGCTGATGCCGGATGCACAAGCTTCAAACCAGTCAGGTTCTTGAAGCCGCAGATGTTGTGGCCATTAGTTCAAGTGATGATGACGGTGAAAGCCATTGCCCAAGAAGAAACGGGGCCATCCTGCATCTGGACACGGAGGCTTTTGCTTGGAGGGTTGGCTTGGGGGTGAAAGGCCGAGGATTTACACTTTCTTGCCCGAAGAAAAAGGCACGACGAAGAAGCTCCCTGTGCAATGTGGGTTGCGCGGCTCCAGCTTTGCAGCGCAGCGAAGTTCCACCAACCATTGGATCCTGCTTCATGAAAAGTCTGAGAAGCACCGGCTGGCAATGATTATGAAAACAATCTCTTCAGAGCGCTCAGAGGGTAGGCAGTCGGTGAATGGCTGCAGTGGCATTTGTTTCAATGAGGAGGGTGCACGCGGAGCACGTTTGAGCAAGATGGCAGGTGTGTACCAGACTTGGTATGATGCTGGCTGTATCTCCTTGGATGGCGATGCAACCCGCCACATCGCACTGGAATGGAGTCAAGCAAGTGGACTGGTGCTACGCGCTAAGTCTTGTAAGGGAGCTCAGGCTCCACCGTTGCCTTGTGGCTGGTGTGGCCACTGCCAAGCTGTCTCACAGAACCGGCGGGTCCATGCCAGTGTGTCCACTTGGGCTTACAAAATTGACGCTGCTTGACTGCAAACAGGACTATGAGCATAGTTATGAGCGCGCATGTCCATTTTTGACAGCGCTAGGAGCTGCTATCCAGCCAGCAGTACTACTGTGTGGTAAGCAAATTCAGTGCAGGGCTTGCCATTACATGAGAGCTAAGCCCGCAAGTTTGCGCCATGAGGTTGTGTCACTGCTTCACATCATGCTGCAGGGCGATCCAAGCAGTGTGGGGCAGCACTTGTCGCACATGAAGCTTGCCGGGGACAATCAGCATGTGGCAGTTGCAGCAGAAGAGCTTCAGCGCGCTAGCTTTTTGCAGCGTGGCCTTGAGTTGTGGATCACGACGCAACCATTGCGTTTTTTATTCTAAATCCTTAAGTAAAAGATTGTCAGCAGGACTCGTAGCGGCCTGCCTCATGGTCAACAAACTTCTGCCTCATTTTCTTCATTGGGGCCCTGCCCAGGCAAGTGCTGCACAAAGCGCAGGCCCTCCTCGCCCGCACACCACGATCCCTTCGATCTGCCAGCTTGAGTCAGTTTATAGCATCAAGATTGCTGTGGGTCAAGCCCTGCATGTCGGACCTTCAGGTCACTTCGGAACAATGAAAACTTATTCAGCAAATTGCTGCCAACTTCGCGAGTGGCATCGCAAGTCCTGCAGAACAAAGGGCGTCTGTGTTGATCTCATCCGGGGTCCTGCGAGGGCAAGAATTCGCCCGTGCCCTCCTCTTATTGATTGTAGGCAAGGCCGAAAAGGAGAAACGAGGCCTGGTGAGGACCGGCAGTTCCAGGCCTCCAGAATGCAGCCACCTCGTGGGCAACCGAGAGCTGATGCGTGAGCGGGGCCTGAATGCAAAAGGCTTACCACCGATAAATTTCTGGGATGAATCATTACCAGTTCCATTTTCTGCAGATCTGGGTTCCTCACAAAGGCTGGTCACCAACCTCGAGACTTGCATGACATCGTGCCGCGCAGAGTTCAAGCGTGCCTTGGGCTGCGCAGCATGCGCATGTGTTTTTGGCAGCTCAAGCCTGTGAGGGCGGGTAAGGGGCAACTCAACTCAATCGAAATTACAATGTTTCAATATGAGGCAGCTACATGCTGCTTTTCGACGAAACTGCTTTTGCAGCATCACAAGAGCTGCTGAAGGGTTTTGGCCCTGGCTGTCCCATGGTGGTGGGCGCGCCGTTTCCCTGTCACTTACCAGACGTTGGGGCTGACGTCAAGGAGCTGGCAACGCAGGCCATGACAGTGTGCATGAAGCGGTGTGATTCGAAGGAAGCAGTTTGGGCGGTCAAACCGCCAAAGCAAGAAGCCAATCCGGCATGCAATCCGGCATGTTGGAGTTGATTGGGCAAGTATTGGACGCCTCTGTCATGGCAAATCATGATTTGCCACCTTTGTGCTTGGCTGCCGATGGCCATGCCAGCCACTGGCGCATTTTTGCCATCCTAAGTGGCCTTGAAAACCCTGCCAGATTACCATCCAATGTGCCCTTCTGGTCCAAGTGTCACTCGGATGTGTAGAAGTATGTGATGAACCTTGAGTTGTGCTTTGTGATGCTGAAACACCTGTGATCCATGTCACCCATGAGCAGGAGACTATTTAATCCAAAGCGTTTTTGTTGGCCGAAGATACAGTACAGGTGTGCCAGTGTTTGTTTCCTAAAATTGTTTGGGGTGCCTCTTGCAAGGCTCACCCGGCTCAGTTGAATGCGGCCGACCGGTGGGGACCCAGCTTTGGCCTTTCCGCACGGTCTTCTACAAGTCGCATGCGATGTGGGGTGGCTTGGATGCGGAACACCTTCAAAAGAGTTTGTCAAGATGCTGCAGAGCTGCTTGTCGCATCCTTGTCTGCGGCAGCTTCTGGGTCAGCCCAACATGCCTTGTGGGGTCCATGCCCGTGCAATCATTTGAGAATGTCAACAGCATGAGGCTGGACACATGACTTGCTGACAAAGTGTTTTCGGTGTTTTGACATGGAGCCAATGCCCGCAGTAGCGCAGCGACCTTGAAGGTACAAGGATGCAGTGTGGATCATGCATTGCAATGCCGCTGCTCAGAGTTGGACTGGCTTGGGTATGGCATGCTACCAGCTGGCTTGCACTTTGTTGATCACTTGCTGGACAGCAGCGGCTGGTTTCTATACACCAGCGGAAATAGCGTCTTGTTACCAGTACGTAATGCCCTTCTTACTAGTAGCGATGCACTTATCACTAGTAGCAAAACACCCTAAGTAGCTATACGACAATGGGGGGCTGCGGCGCCGTTTCTTTTGTGGCAAACCTGCTTGTGTGACTTTGTGACCTTCAGGTTGAAAGACGAAAGTCAAAGGCCGCAAGAAATGCGATACCGTTGTATCATGGCGGGCTTTGACCCCGACAACACCGAAGAAATGCAAGAGTTCATCCGTGCCAGCACCTTGCATCTTGGCCTATTCAGGTCTCGGGGACGAAGCGTGTTCAGCGGCAGGCTAAGCCTATTTTGATTGATCAAGTCTCAAGCTGTCCATGCAACGTGAAGAAACATCTCCCGAAGACGACTCGAAGACGGCTGAGGCAAGCCTTGGAAGAGGACCATCCCCTGCCCAATGCGGTGGTGAACCAGGAGAGCCGAAACGCCATGGTTTAGAATGGTTTAGAAGGTAACAAGACCAAGAGCATACAAACAAAGACACGTAATATTGTATCTACGCATGTGCAGCTGCGTTTTAGTTTAACCAGGTACTTTGAGAGTTGAGTTTGTACTACTTGATTTGATTGTAGCACATATGACTGGGTTGTTGTGGCTTGGAATTGGAACATATAGTGAAGTGAGTCTATCAATCCACGGTGGTTCCACCAAACATGAAGACTGCCAGAAGGGGATATTTTCGGATAAAGAAACGGAAGAACAAGAACTAGCGAGAAGAAAATGAAGGGCAAGACCCTGCAGGCTGCTGCTGGGCCACAGCAGAGCAAGCTCTCCATCAATAGCCGCACATTCAGCAGAGAACATTCTTCAAAGGAGGCAGCCGAAACGCCCTGGCCGGCTGTTTGACTTGTTTGGCCCCTGATGTTTGGCTTGAAAAGTTTGTAAAGGAATTGTCTTGGACTTTGCCCGCAGATTTTGGATCGAAGAACTTGCAAACGAGCGTCTTCCCTCGTGTTCCGAACGCTCGATCGTCGTAGGGGACGAAAGACGTGATCGACGACGCCGCAGAGGAACGCACTGTGAAGGACCGCACACTGGGTGGGCGGTGAGTTTTTTGAAACGGATTGGGAATATGACACATGACATGTGTCAAAAAAACCATCGATTCGCAACGTGAGAAGATCCCGAAAACGAAGGTGGACTCCCGAAAACCTCAGGTTTTTTTCCCGAAAGCACCTGCCAAGGGTTCTCCGTAAAGAACGGCTGCCAACTTCAACTGTCCGACCATCATCATCATCCTCCTCCTCCTGCTCCTCCTCATCATAATCTGACAGGTGCACAGATGCAGGTGATGCACCAGCTCTGATACACCTACATAGATACATGCCCAGGTGTTTGCGAAGACACCTACAAAACGCACCTACGCAACTACAACTTGGACATCTGATCTTCTCTTAAGGCAGCGGGGTGGCCCGGCCGGTACTCACGAAACACGCCCTTTGCGGAGATCCTGCGTGTTGTGTGCTCAGACTCAAACGTGACGTGAAATGTGATTTTGGCCGCGGCAACCCCTTTGCGTAGGTCGTGCATGGAGTGCGTAACTCTCATCAAACATGAAGGTGGACGTTGCCAAAGTGTGTAGCTGTCATCGGCGTGGCTTTGAGAACGAACTGGGCAGCTTTGTAGCGCAAATGTAGTGCAGGGTGCAGGCACCACCTTCTGGCATGGCATCCAAACTTTGCATTGCAGCTTTGTAGTGCAAATGTAGTGTGGGAAGCAGCTTCTGGGAGCTGTGGCCTCGGAGCTGGGGACTATGTAGCGCAGCTGATGGGAGCTCCGCTCACTTTGTATATACAGTCGCAGGGCTGGAGCCATCTTGTGTTCCTAAGCGGTTTTTGGTACTGGTGCTTTCGATTGAGCTGTGTTGCTTCAATGTCCTGCTCAGTTGCAGGAGTACAGTGCAAGCATCTTCACGGCGATGGTCATGTCTGAAATCTTCGTGAACCAATATTGGGTTCCTGCTCTAGCTGCTAGCCGCCCTGTTCTTGCACTCTGCAAGCAGCAGTTGCTTGCAGCACGCTGCGCCGCTTGTTTCAACGGACGTCGTGCTGCTGTCATCAGTGCGCTGTATGATTGGCTGGCCCGTGTCGTGCGTATCATGTTCATCATCATCATCACCATCATCATCATCATCGTCATCATCATCCTCACAATCCTTATCGTCGTCATCCCGGCTCTCTTTCATCTCCTGCTGTGCTGTCGGGCCACCCTGTCATCTGGTTTTCTGAGTTGGTACAGGTTCAGTGATCATTTGTTTGTTGATAAGACTTCACCCAGGAAGTCAAAGCTTGAAAAAAACGTGTCCGAACTCCGAGATGACAAGGGGAATTTGGAACCTCGACCGCTCCGTTACGAGGAGAAGCGGATATTGAGTAAGGCAGACGGTCTGGAAGCAGCAGTTCAGAGTATGCATGAACAGCACCTCCAAAGTGTCTCAAACTCAGTTGTTGAGCGAAAAACTGACTGATTGACTGACTGACTGACTGACTGACTTGACTCGGTTGACTCGCCCCACACTTGCGTAGTTTTTGTGAAGGGTCCTGTGAGTCCTGTGTATGTCCTGTGTACACGATCCATTGTCCAGTTATGCCCAGTTTGCCCTGCATTCAAACATGCATGGAGTGAATCAGGGAACACTCACAAACCTAAAATTAAAACGCCTTGGGGGAACAGCAGATGATGGCAATTTCGTGAACTGAGTAACTATAGCAGTTCATCCAGTCATCGTTTTACTTTTGTTTCTCTCTGCTTCAGGTTCAAGCCATCGCCGAAGAACTGCAAGAATATCAGCTGCAATCGTCCGAATTTGAAGAAGAACTCTCGTGAAGTGGCTGCAACGAGACATGGCGTCGCTTTTAAATCTCCTCTTTGAATTCTTTGAGTTGTTTTGAATCCTTGGACCTCTCTTGGAATCTGAAAACACAACTAGAGGATGACAACTTGTAGGTCTTAGGTTGCAGCCTCCAACAAGTACTGCAGGAACGCTAGGAACCCGGAACACTTGGGTTCGGAAAGCTAGAAGACCAAGATGACGAAGAAGACGCGTCTTCAACGCGCACACGTGGCAAGGTCCACGCACCAGGTGATTTTCACACAACTCTATGTCGTGTTCTCTATGCCAGGACACTGGAGAGAGCCGTGCGAGGTTACAGCAGGAAGGGTCAAGAAGGTGCCAAACTGGGCAGCTCTGATGGGGGGATGTGCGGACGCCCTAAAACACCTTAAGATGAATTGCTTTCCATTGCTTTCCCGTCTCACCACAGGGTTTTGCGTGTCATCACAAAGCCACCACCTTCATTCGCCTTTCAGAAGTGGTCAACCGGCACCTTCCGTCGCGAAAACCATGCGGTCGGCGCGTCGACTCTCGCTCCTGTTGTCGTATGAGTCGGCGCAGGTGCGAGTGAACTGGAGGAACGCTTTCGAGACGCCAACCTCCATGTCGTGCAGGCGAAGAGGGCGACGAAGAGCTCCAGTGTCAATGCAGCAAAGTTCAGCAAAAGTACATGTTCACACAGATACATGTTCAAAGTTCAGCAAGAAGGGCAACCCAACATCACAGAACCCTAATGCATCCGCATCCGAATCCGATCTCCTAATCCGCATCCTAATCCGCCTTCGGTCCGGAACGTCCAGGACCTGCCAGACCGACTCTTTAAGCTCTCCCAGATGGCCAAGGACGACCGCGTTCCCGAACCAAAGCGCCGGGGGACGGGACCGACGCTGTCCCGGAGACTTCTGCAGCCCGGACCGCTGCAAGCAAAGTACCGTAGCACGTGGGGTGTTCTTGGTGCCGGAAATGGAAGTCTTCGGTTTTTGTTGATGAAATTTGATGAACCATTGTTCGACAACCTCTCACACAAGCATCAGCGCAGGCATCGCGCCAGGTGGTGGAGAGACCTTTGACTGCAGATAGCACTGCAGATGAAGGGCAACATGGAACGTCAAATGGCGATTCTTTGACATTGAGGGCACAGACATGTCCAAACGTCATGTGGTTTGGGTTCTTCTTGGAATCCTTGTGCTGATTTTCTACTGCTGTGCAGGAGTGACTGTGCATTTGTTGAGGGTGTTACACTCCGACTCACATCCAAGTGGAAAGCACATCGTTTTGTGAAGGAAGACGTGGCCTTCCCAGGGGACCATATACACGTCCATCCCCCCCACAGAAATCCACAGATCCTCGTAGAGCGGAGTGGAGAGTGGATGTTTGCGCCTTTTCCGTGAGTGGTCGTACCGGACCAGGTGGGAAGGCAGGCTTTAGTTCCGACCCCTTGAAGCGCCTGGAGAGCCGTATCGCCGCTCTCTTCCAGCACTCGCAGACCTTCTTGGACCAAGCAGAGGTGCCTTGGAGAAACAGAGGTCGACTGCTGTGCCCCCTCTTTACATCGGCCTTCCCCGCAGAGGAAGGACTGGCCCCCCCGCTTTTGGCAAAACAACGACAGGATGTACCGATAGATTTTGAAACAGAGGTCGACTGCTTTGGCCACACTTTCGACGCATGACATGTCGAGATGGGAGGTCTTTCATGTTATTTTTGAAGGCATGTTTTTGCCACCGAGGCCCAGCATGACCTGTACCTTTTGCTTGACCGCTTGATTTCAACGGTGGCACTGATGGGCAAAGGATAGGCAAGGAGAAAGTTAAGATGGCTCAATTAGGCATGGAATGGATGCCATGGTGAACAACGAGATACTCAGTATACCCTCGAGCCCTTGAAGCTGTTCGCTGTTCAGCTAATTGAATTCATAAGTCTTCGAACCGGAGCATGAACCATATGAACCACTATATAAGTGAACCATATAACCACATCCACTGCAGCATCCGACCGATGACGAGATGACCTGCCGGCGTGTCCAAACCACGGTCCTTCGTTTGCCGCGCGACCGACCCAAACGGAGCCTCCAACGAACGGAGGGGCGCTCCGTTCGTGGGACGTTACGAAACCAGGGAAGCTCTACGAGACGTAGCTTCTAGGGCATCGCTGCGAAGGTCGCAAGAGACGCTACTCACTTCCAACTTAAGTCGATGCGAATTTGTCTTGTGTCGTTTGAGGACCTGCACACCGGCGGGGAAACCCCGGTTGCTCCTCCGCTTGTGCAAACGTACTCCAGCGGTCGCTCCACGCACGAGTTTCACGCACGCCCAGTCGGTGACGCCGGTCTCAAGCACTCCCATGTTACATGGTGACCAAGATTTGGCCAGACTTGAGTGGTTAGGTCATTTGTGGGTAGCGTTACCGCGTTACCCATGTCTATGTACAATCAGGGCAAAAGCCGTGTGATGTTGCATGACATATCGATCTCTGGTCCGTTCTACATTGAAGAACAGAGTTTGTTCTACATCACATGTCCGTTCTACATCACAATGCACAACATATGTTCTACATGACAATGTACATGTTCTACATTGTGATCAGTCATCTACATTCGTCTCATGTTCTTCGGCGGTGCCACCTGCTAGTAGCAGGGTTCATAGCAGCCCGCTTCCAGACGGAGCTTGCGCCAACGGAGCGCGCGGAAACGAGAATGTGCTGATTTCATACGCACGGATCCAATCAGACCCCGTTTGAATGTGCAATTGAGTGAAATCACATTGATTCAATGGTCCTCATGGTCCTCTCCCCAAGCTGAAGGTGTTCGTAAGGGTGTGAGTTTTGGAGTGTTTATTCAACCCCTCCATGATCCGTTGCTTCAGCGGAGCTTACACTGTTCTGCCGAGCTAGCTTGAGCTGAACAGGCCGCTTGATTGAGCTGCTCAGGCTACGAAACGCACTCGGCATAATCAGCAAGCGGCGCTCTCTTGGAGTCCTTCCTGCAGCTTCGAATTTGGCTCCGACAATCTCAAGAGCAGAAGAGACAAGTGGCAGTGGGCCTCCACCCCAACCATGTTCATGGTCATTCTGAGTCGTTCTTTAAAGTCAAACACACACACACACACACAGAGCTCTCTCTGACGTGCGTTCGACGCTTTGATTGGTATCGACATTTTCGACGGTTCGACGTCGGGCGATGGCTGACGACTTCGAGTCCGAAGACAAGACACTTGGACGGTCATTTTGAGGTTTTGAACAGACCTGGACCTTCCACTTGCAACACGGCAGAAAACCCAAAAGAGCAAAATATATAGCCCTGTTGAGGCCCCAGGGATGTCTAAATGAAGTTGAAAACATGTTTCCACAGGCTTTGAACAGACACTAGATCCCCATAGGTCAAGATCGGAATCCATCCGTCACACCCCTGTGGTATTCTGAGACCCGCGAAAAAAAGGCCGGCCGAACAACTCCGAGGCAGAAAATTAGGGTGTTACCCATGCAGTGAAGCGTTGTCTCAGGATTGAGCAGCTGAACAACTTGCCAATATGGATGAAGATCAGCGAGGGCGACATTCATTTGGTCGCATGGTCTTTGACTGTTTGACGTTCCAATTTCTTTCAGATTTCCCTTGAAGTCCCTTGTCCCCCGCAAAATGTTTGTGTGGAAGAAAGGACAAAGTCCTGCAACCGTCCTTGAAACTCTTGGATGTTTCTCTTTGGCTGGATTTGGCCTCGGCTGAGTTGGGATGGTGTTGGCTTTCCAGTTAGGTTCCGCAGAGGGCAGGGTGCCTTTCTTGGTGGGTCGAGGGCGGTGCCATTCGATCTTCCAGAGATGCACCACTGCAGATCGAACGACGAAACCACGGTGCCCCGGGGCCCCGCGTTCGTTGGGCGCCCGGGCCGTAGCGGGCTGCCCAATCTTCCGCTGGCCGACTCCGATTCCTCACGTGAGCCAGAAACAGATCAGGAGCGTTTGTCCGGGCATACCAAGATGCGCCAAGCTTGATTTGAGTCCTGGGAGACCTATATATTATGATTCATATTATACCCAGGGTTATATGGAATTAATAATTATATAATGTAGTCATACCATAGTCGTAACTGAGAGAATCATGTTTTCGTCTGTTTTTGCATGTCGGTCTGAGCGTGTTCTCCCGAGGTGACGATGAAAGATGTTCAGCAGCTCTTCAACGTCATGGACGATGGCAGAAAAGGCTACATCTCCGGGGCGGTGCCTTGAAAGAAAGCTAGAAACCCAGAACTTCCAATGAATCATTTAAAAAAAGACCTGCACTATATTGTTTGGACTTCACTGGACACGGTTGCCTATGCCTCTTCCTTATGCAAGGGCGAAGGGAACATACTAGCTCAACTTGTTACTAGCTTCTGGCCTCCAACCGCACTCAAAAGGCCTCCACATGCCTCCACGCCCCAACGCTTTTTCCTCGGGGACGCTATAATCGGGAGCATCGGGCGGTCCGACTCGGTCCGACTGAGGACCTGATGACGCTGCAGGCAGTGGACGCGGCCAACTTGACAGAGAATGACCTGCAGGAACCGAAGGGCGGAAGATGATGTCCTCCTGTTTCTGAAGGGGCGGAATTTCGACCTTCCACATCCGACCTTTCACCTTTGACCAGTCCTATCCTGCCTACCAGTCCTTTCAGAAAGCCGCCCTGCCCAGCCCCGCCCTGCCCATCGCCCCGCCGCCTTAGGAACTCGTGAAGGACGTGGACAAAGACGGCAACGCCAAGTGCTCCGTGCCTCGGAACCCGTCGAAGCGAGCTCCGGCGAACGGGTCGAGAGGTCTCGGAACCGACCCGTTCGACTTGAAAGAAACACAACGACATCATTATATTATAGTCTTATATAGTACATAGCTATTACATAATATATAGTATTACATAGCTATTACATACCTAGCGCTTCCGGTGTCCTGTCTGGAGACCTATAAGTGTAGGGTTGTCCAGCCAGGTGACCCCGAACGGAAGCAGCTGGTAGTATGCATTTAAGCATGTTTTAAGTCTTCTATTTTATATACATTGCAGGGAGCCTTCAAAGGGTGATGGGATGGTGCTTTTGAGGGGAGGGCCAGGCTGGCGGGCCAGGATGGGCCAGGAATCGTTCTTTCTTTTGAGGAAAGACCCGGAACCCACTGAGGCGGAGGAGCTCTATCATGCCATCACTTCAGGCGCTTCCGCGGAGCCGACGTGCTGCGACGCTGAGCCGCGGTCGTTCCGATGTGAAGAAGGGGTTTTTCAGCAATCCGGGCGTCCATGTGGATCGATAGGCTTTCCTTTTCAAACGCCACTTGGACCGAAAACAAAAAGAGCAAAACGTGGAAAGAGAAACAGAATGAGATGGCGCTCGCCGCGACGTCACGAGCAGGTCGCACCCCCCCCAACCGTGACAGGTCCTGGTTTGTTTTATTCCCCCGAGGGGTCCGACCGCGTTTGGTCGCTTGTGGTCCGCTGTGCGTCCAAGGGACTCAGCCACGTTGTGCCAGCTGTTGTCGCCTTCGAGGGCGCCCTTCGAGTTCTTCCGGAGTTCACGGAATTCGGTCGTTGGTGTTTTTTTTTGTTTTTGTCCATGCTTTACATCTTTACCTAAGACCGTGTTCTGCCAGCTGCAGTGGAGTCCGACTCTTTAGCCCGTCACCTCTTAGACGTTTGACGAATCGAGCTGCATCGGTAACCGAAGCTTCGCAGAACTTTGAACGACATGTATCATGGGTCGATGCGAGACGGATGAACAATGGTTTCAAGGCCTTCTCCAGCTAGGTAACGGTATGAAGTTGGCGTACTTCGCTTTTCGTTATATGTGTACTGTATTTATCACACCACAAATGAGTAAAGAGCGGTCGTGAGTTTCAGGAATTGGGCCAAAACCTGCAAAGGCGATACCCCCCGTCCAAAAGTGATAACCTTACTGAATCATGTTCTCTACTTGACTACGTTTTGGCAGACGCTCACATGTAGCTAATAAGAGAAGGCGCACTCCCAAGACACAAAGACCCCACAGTGTTACCGAAGAAAATAAATCACAGATCTTTACACAGGCACTATCGCCTTCAACATGGTGAAGGAGAGCTTGAGAAAAAAGGAGGCTGGAATTGCTTCGATAGATGGCTTGGTGGATTGTTTACTGCGTTGAGTAACGACATGATGGTGCATGATGACTTTGTCTTAGAGTGTTGGCAGGCTGGTTTTCGCAACGAGTCAGCTTGTTTGTTCTATTCAGCGACATGTCGTGTTTCTGCCAGCCTCCGCTGGCAGAGCTCACTCGTTGCGGTGCCAGGTGGAGATCAGGTCCTACAATTGCGAAAGGGAAAAGCTCTTGGAATGGCTACTCGGATAAAATCGATGGCTCACATGCAAAGAAAGAAAGCAAGGTGCAACAGCTGCCTTAATGAACGTCAAAGCTGAATTCTTCTTGATTGTGTTTCCAACAGACTGGCAGAGCAGTTGCCATTCGCAATGTCTTCAGGATGACCATGGAGTATGAGACCACTGCAGCTCTTTGGTCCTTGCCGATGACCATTGGCTCCTTCATTACTTTCGCACTGGTCTGGTACTGAGCGAAGACCGACGTTCGCTTGATGAGCGCTCTTTTTCAAGACACCTGGTGCTTCCTTTGACATCTTTGACCAACCTTTACCTGAAAACATTCTGAGCTTGCTGGCACACAGCCGCAGAACCCTGCTGAGTGTTCTTTGCAAAGCTGCCCTGTTGCATTAGATCTGCAGCGAAGTTGAGGTGGCAAACACTCACATTGACCTCTTCAATGCTTGGAGAGTACACAATGCCTTGGAGGAAATGCTGTGACTGCAGCTGCTGTTTCCTGTTTCTTCATATCTTTTTTCACGGCGAATCGTGTTGTACTGTGTCAAGAGCAGCTGTGTCAAGTAGCACCTGTCTGGCACCAGACAGAGCCCTTTTTTTCACCTCGTTTCGGAGAAATGGCAGCCCTGGCTTCAGAGCCGACAGGAGCAATTTCCTGTGCTACAACTCCCATACAAGTTCAAAGTCGTCGATGCCCGACTCCAAGTCGCCTAGTTCGACTCGACTCGACTCAGCGCGAAACGACTCGCACGAAACGACACGATGTGCTGACCGCGTGCTGACTGGTTACCTGGGGGGGGGAGACGTCGCACGGCGGCGTCATCGAGGTTCCCACTCTGATTACATGGACGCGGAGCCTTGGCAGAGACGAACAGAGTTAAACGGAGCCATTTGGACAACTGGATTTCACAGGAAACTAATTGTCCTAAGTCTTTTTCACCGCATGTACGTACATGTAAATATCGGACCATGCTATGACCTCTACTCCATTTCTGAGATATTAAGATACATATTTCTCAATTTCTCAAACCATTTTGGAAGTTTGAA